GAGAGAGAGAGAGAGAGAGAGAGAGAGAGAGAGAGAGAGAGAGAGAGAGAGAGAGAGAGATGAGCGATACAAGTTTGGCTGTTACGTACCAGTGAAGTTGCTGGGCAGTCCACGAAGAAGAAGATTGCGGCCATAGCCGCGGAGATTGACCACGGAGTGACGAAGGAGGGAGAGAGAGTGGACAGAGGGGGAGACTGAGAAAGGAGAGAGAAGCCATAGCCGAGGAGGCAAAAAGGGAGACGATCAAAAAAAAAAAAAAAAAAAAAAAAAAGAAGAAGAGAGACAGCCGGGGTGAAAGAAGGCCAGGAAGGTGAAGGGAAGACGAAGGTTGGTGAGGGAAAGAGAAGCCGGCAGCCATAGCTGACCGAAGTGTTGACTGGGAGAGTTGACTGGAGGTGTTGACCGACGTTGACCGGAGTTGACCGGGGGTTGACCGGGAGTTGACCGCAGCGTTGACCGGCGTTGACCAAGGCGTTGACCAAGATTTTGACCAAGCTGGAGCCGGTAAAATCTCGCCAAGCCTTCAGCCTATCCCTCGCCCTATGGATGTGCACATACCCTGTGGTACTTGCTGATTCCAGTCTGTCTGTCTTTTCTTTCTGCATTGAGTCTCTTCTGTCTAGGTGATAGTACTCTGTGGATGAAGGATAGGGCCTTGTTGACCAAACCCACACGGGCTGAGTAGGGCTAAAGACTGTGTCTGACGACTCGACTGTCCCGGAGGCCTAACCCTCCCAAGGACCGGTACTGACCGGCGGGCTGCTCCGTGTGGCACGGTAGGCCCAAAATCCGAGCTGTGGGCTGCACAACAGGCCGTCTAAGTGTTGAGCGACCTGCTGATCGCATCGTCCTGTCTGCGACGTTAAATAATTCCTGAGGAGTTACGGGGGATCTCCTTAAATGCCTCCTGATCAGCAACAGGTCTAGTAGTGACAGCCATAGTATAGGTCTAGGCTAGAGACCCTAGTTGGCAGGATCCCTGTCCGGATTCTGTGAGTCCTGAGATTGAGTCAGTGGGTTGTCAGTCAGGGGTTAGAGTCTACGTGGTGAGGTTTGGAACCGTTAATTCGGTTGTGCACTTATCACCATGGCCGATACCCGTAGTGGGAAGAGTACTAGCCCTTACACCCAGGAACAGCAAGAGAAGATGGTCGCCTTAGTAAGAGAGAATAAGGAGAGGAAAGAGCTCCTGAAACAGGTGAAGCTAAAAGCAATCGCAGAGGAGCAGGCGGCGAAGATGAAGGAATTGGAGGAGGAGATGGAGAAAGAGAAGAAGGCTACTGAAGAAGAAGCGGCAGCAGAAGCAGACGAGGAAAGGAAACGCAGGGAAGAAAAAGGGGAGAGTAGTGGCACGGCAAAGGAGGATGTTGCGATGGAAAAGAAGATCAACGAGGGGATTGCTAATTTGTCGTTGGGGGAAGATGAGGAGGCAGAGTTTTATGTGGCCCAGGACGAGAGGGATGCGTTAGCCAATGAGCTAGCAGCCCTAGAGGACCCTCTGGAACGGCGAGAAAGAGAAGAAGAGAAGAAGTTGGAGTGGAAACTGAGGATAAAGAGGGAAAAGAAGAGAAGGAGGGATGAAGTTAATAGGTTGACCGCAGAGGTGGCGAAGGTGAGAGATTGCAGGCAGGAGGTGCAGGCTCAGGCAGACACCTCGGCCAAAATGGAGAAGGTGTTAGGGTACCTGGAGGTGTTAAGTGCGGCTTGGATGGAGGAACGCCAAGCCAACAGGGCTCAAGAGGTAGCCCTGAGTGCCATGCGGTCAGGATTTAGGGATTTTGCACGCGACATGGTCACCCACGTTGGAGGCGAAGTTAAGCGACTGAGAGACAGCGTGGGGAAGTTTTGCGAGGGCGCCATTGAGGGCGCCAAAGCAATAGTCGCTGTAGAGGGCGACACCAGGCCTCGTAAGGAGCCCGTTAAGCTTAAATTCCCAGATGCGTATGGAGGGAAGAAGGAATAAAATTTTGATAACTGGGAGGCTAGTGTGAACAGTTACGTATACTTACATCACATCCTGACTGAGGAGCAAGTCCTCGTCGCCTTCCAAGCCCTTAAGGATGAAGCGGCTAGTTTTGCCAGGTCCCTAGCGCGCGCAGCCAGTTGTGAAAACAACCTGGTTGCATATTCCAAGGTTACCCCCCTTCCTCACTTCTTCAAGCTCCTAAGGGAGCGATTTGCTGACCCAACGAGAGGCGTTAGAGCCTCTAACAAATTACAGACTATCCACTCGCGACAATGGAGGAGTGCAAGGGCACTCAAGGGCGTCATGGACGACTTGGTAGCCGTCCCAGACCATGGGGTCACTGAACCCCAATTGGTCCAATTGTTTTATCGTGCCATGCCCGAGCCCCTGCGTGGGCATTTCTTTGAGAGGTCTCAACAGGCAGATATCACCTATGATGTGCTGAGTAGAGAGGTGGTCCTGTATGAGTCAAAGTCCATGCCAGTGTCCACTTTCTGGCACAAGGACTTGGACAAAGGAAAGAAGTGGAAGGGTCGTACCATCTCTGGCCAAGTGAGGGCCAAGGATCATATGATCCTTACTTTAGAAGAAGGTGGTACATATGAAGTCCCCTACAGTGAGATTGAGTGGGGGTTAGAAGAGGAGGACAGCGGCGTAGGGCAGGGGAGGTCTTATGCGGCTGTCACGGCTGGAGGGAGGCCGCAAGGGAGAGGAGGAGGCCAGGGCCAAAGGGGCCAGGCCATGGGAGGCCGAGGACCGGGCGCACAGGGGGTTGGCGGACAAGGTCCCCCGCCAAATCGTCAAGGTTCTTCTCGGTCCCCACAACGACGAGGTGGAAGGCCACCTCAAGGAGGATGGCACCCAGGCTTGCCACAGGGCAGGCCCTGGGAAGACTTGGGCTTGGACCAGCGTGTTTTATGGTGACCCAGCCCACATAATTAAATTTTGTCCTCAGTACAGACAGGCCCGATGGGCTGCTCAGCAGTCAAAAGGCAGCCGCCAGTAGGGGTCGCAACTGCCCCTACTTCAAGGCCATGTGGGGAAGCGAGCGCGCGCGAACAGGAAACTCCCAAACCACATAAGCCTATGGCAGAGGTTGCAGGCCCGTGCCTAGCTAGTTGTCCAGAGACTGCTTGTGTTAGCGTCTCTCTAGGCACGTCCCTCACAGGTGTGGCAAAAGAGCTGAAGGAAAGGATGCCAACCTGGGCCAAAATGAAGAAGGAAAGTAAGGGACAACTGATCTTGGTAGATGTAAAAGTGCTTAGAAGCAGAGTAGGGGTCCTTATAGACTCAGGGGCCACACGCAGTTACATTAGCCGTAGGGCGCTGAAGAAGCTGAGGCTAGCATTAGAAGTCCAAAAGTTGGCAGACCCCATAGTCAGTGTCCTCGCAGACAACCGCACAATGCGAGTGGAGGACTACGTAGAGGGAGTCCAGGCGTACTTTCGCCTAGAGAAGGATTGGAAGGTGGAGAAAGTTCTCCACTCCCTGACTCTCCTCATACAGGATGACCGTCCTTTCGACATAGTGTTAGGAATGGATTGGGGAGAGGCAGCGAGGGCCACACTCCACTTAAGAGAGCATGAGTGTAGGCTCCCTAGTCTGTCAGGCGAGGTTAAGACTGCCCGCCTGTTTCATGTGTCAGGTGTAGATAACACCTTGGCACATTGTTGTCTCAGTGCTCCTGCGTTCGCCCGACTAGTGAAAAAGGAGCAGTTAGAGGATCAGGTCTTCGTAGTGTATGTGAGGCCTATCACTGAGGCTAAGGAAGGAGATAGTTCCACAGACCCAAGCGAGTCTGATTGCAGCTGCCTGCATTGTTGGGTGAACGCCAAAGGAGAAAACACATCAAATTTAGGGCTCGGGCTTTATTATTATGTTATTTTTTTCGGTTTCTTTGATGACCTGTCTATGGAGGCTTTGGAGCTTTGTTGTGAGAGTCATATGAGAAAGACTTAAAATTTAGGGTTCGGCTAGCCATCTGTCAGCAGGCTAGCTTAGACTCGAATAAGAAAATGCAATGCTGCCGGCATAGTTGGATAAACGTCAAAGGATTTTCTTCCTGCACTGCCATGCAGCAAAACAATCACTCATGCATCCCGACATCATTTCAAATACTCATGATTTGTGCTGCGCAAGATTCGTCATTCATTCATCCTCTGTCAGTACTTAATACATAACTTCACACAGGCAGCAATATCGGATCATAGACAGCATCATCTCGGAGAGCAGTGGCACAAGGTCATGCTCATGCCAATATTATTGTGAGTCCTGAGTGCATCAGACTGCACTATTTTGTCGGGATACATGTGCAAGACTGGGATGGAATGATACAGAAACAGGGAGCTGCAATGAACCTCCTAGTTCAACACCAGTGAGCGCACATATTCACACCACAAGCATGTATGAGTTCACACAAAACTCACACTGGAGACCATAGACATGAAGACCAGGTAGCGCAGCTTATCATTTCCAGAAAGTATTATAAGAGCAATAAGAGTTCAAGTCATCAGTGCATATCAGCGCATGTCATAGGTAACCAATAACCAGCATGAACTCTCAGGTAAGTAACTCCTCTCTGCTCTTCTCTCGTGTAGCTCTTCTCCTTACCGGTCTTCTCTCTAGCTATGTCCTCGCTGTGTCTTCTCTCCCTACATGCATGCACAACCACTAGCTTCTACTCAAAGATCTACTCCGAATACACCCACTGTCTACTCTTCTAATCCCTCTGAAGTCTACTACTAGCTGCTAGTACTTACACTTCTGCACTGGTGCAGCTATGGCTGCCTTCTCCCTGCCAGCGCTAACTTCCTCTCTCTCTCTCACTTAGCACAGCACTCTGGCATCAGCGCTCTGCTCCTCACTTCAGCGCACGAGTGCACCAGCACTTCCACACTTCTTGCGAATGAGCAATCTGCCCGAATGTGAGGCTGGCCAGTCCTTTTGTAGTCTTGGTTTGCACTTCAACTCGTGCCAGCCTTTGTTTCTTGGGTCCTGACTGGTTCCGGTACCACATCCCCACGGCCTGTCTGCTTCTGAATGTCAAGGCCTGGAACCATCCCGAATTTCCATTGGACTGCTGCTGCTTGGGCCTTTGAGTCATGACTGTTCACTTGCGAACATGAGTTTTGACTGTGGACAGTGACTCCTGCCTGTGGGTCACGACTTTTGCCTGTGATACTGCCTTTTACTCGTGGAATGTGATTCTTCAATATGACTTTTCATCATGAGATGTGACTCCTGCCTTTGAGACATGACTCTTGCTTGTGAGTCTGCCTTTTCACTCGTGGGATGTGACTCTTCTAAATGACTTTTTATTATGGAACCTGACTCTTGTCCCTGAGATGTGACTGTTTGTTGGGTGCCTGTTGGACCAGACTGCTGAGGTACCCGACTCTGACTTTTCTGAGTTTAACGAACTTGACCTTTTCTTGACCTGGGCATTCTGACCCTGAGATCCGAATTTGGGGTCTGAATCGTGGAAGGCCTTTCACTCTCACCGGCCTAATTTCGAGGTCCTCTGAGAAACAACTATCTATCCACTATATTGATTCCTCTTCGAGCCCTCTCATAGTAAGACACAATATTCGATGCAGTTTGAATCAGCTCTTCCCGTAAACCAACGATCTTCAGATGGTTCTTGATAAGCAAATCTTACCTTGTACTGTCGCTGTGGCCTACCTCTGTGTCCGGATCTGAACATATCTTCTCCAACAATCCTGTCTACATCATACTTTCCATCCATATCAGGGTGAATCATCAATCTACGAGTAGGAAACAAGTCGTTAGTAACACAAGGTAGAAGCTTGGAAGCATGAAACACCAGATAAGTGTGCACATGTGGAGGTATCTCGACAACATAGGAAGGACCATCTACATCTCCAATCACATCTAAAATTTGCCACGGTCCTCTATAGGCGGGTAACCGTTTCTGAGAGATGTTCTGCTCAGGGAGGAACTCTTTGGACTTTACCCAAACTAGATCCCCTACAACAAACTGCGAGGGTCTATGATGTTTGTTTGCTTGTTCTATCATTTGATTTTGTGCTTTGACTACATTTTCTTTAACCTTTTCAATATCTTTCTGGTATTGTACAGCAAATTCCCTAGTTCCCGGTGGAAGTCTCTGTATATGATCAGGATTAAAACAGTCTATGGGTCTACGAGGGCGCCATCCCAGATGCAACTCGGTAGGTGTTCTGCAAGTTGATAGATGTACAAAATTGTTATTGGCACTAGCAACTTTGGACAGATGTTCATCCCAGTCAATTTGATCTGGTCGGATGTACATTCGCAGCGTCTGCTGCAACAACTTGTTCATCTGCTCAGTCTGTCCGTTAGTCTCAAGATGTCTGCCGGATGACATAGTCAACTTAGATCCTTAGATTTTCATGAGTTGCTGCCACTGTTCACTTGTGAACCGCGTGTCTCTGTCACTAACAATGGTTAAGGGATGCCCAAAATCCTTTACTCAATGATTAAAGAATTCTCGAATCACCAAATCCGTTTTGGCTTCAGCAGGAAGTGAAACAAAAATAGCAAATTTACTAAATCGGTCTACCACAACCATAACCTGACTTTTATCATTTCTGCTTTTGACTTTAGTGTCCATGAAGTCAATAGACACAGAGTCTCCAGGACCGAACGAAACAGGCAATGGTTTGAGTAAACCAAGGGGAGGCTGAGTGGAACTCTTGTTCCGCTGACAAACTTGACAACCTTGAACATAAGCGATACAGTTATGTTTCATTCCAGTCCATGTATAAGAACGCAGGAGGTTAGCATACGTTTCCTTGAACCAAAATGTCCCTCAATATCATGACATTCCCCTAGGATCAGACTTCCAATCTCTTCATTGTTCGGAATACATAATCTATCATGCACATCCGTCTTTTCAAATAACAGTTCTTGAGTCACTCTATAGTCCGGAACTTAATGAGGTGCCTCTTGCACTTCCTTTATAAAGGCACTGTAGAAAGGATCAGCGGCGTATGCAGTCCTAACTTTTTCTTGCACATCAATGCCTACATCCAAATACGTTACAATGGCACTGAAAAAGTCAGATCTCCTAGTTATTGCATCGGCAACCACGATATACTTCCCCTTAACTGGCTTCAACTCAAATCAAATTGATAAATCTCAGCGGCCCATCTCGTTAGCTTAGGCGTCATACGGGCCTGCGTTTTAAGCCAGCAAAGTGTCTAATGATCAAAATACACTTTGAAATGGCGTCCTAGAAGATAGTGTCGCCAATTACTCAAAG